GTTTATGGAAATGTTTTGAACATTCGTAAGTGTCAATGATAGTTTAGCAAATTTCATTCAGGTGACTTTAGCCTTAAAACCTGTGATGGGAGGGGCAACATGTTGGAATTGATATTGATGCTATGAAGACGCTTGTTGAGTCTAACCATAGGCAACACGCTCGTGAAATGGCCCTAAAATTGCATCTCTCTCATGAAACAATACGTAAACATCTAAGGAATATGGGAAACTCCATAAAGAAGATGTTTGGGTGCCTCACGAACTCTCCGATGATCATAGTTTTCGACATGTGGACATTGCTTTGTCTCTTCTGGCACTTGAACCATTTTTGGACAGAATTGTCACCAGTGATGAAAAAATGGATTCTCTGTGCAATTATTAAATGCCAAAAACAATGGCTCAGTCCTAGACAAAAACCACTTTTGACCCAAAACCTTGACTCCATCTGCAGAAAATGATGCTTTGCATTTGGTGGGACATCAAAGGAGTAATTCATTTCAAACTCCTTGATCCACGGGGAACTGTCAATGCAGAGATCTATAGTCAACAACTGGAACGTTTAAATCAAGCTCTTTGTCAGAAACACTTTACTCGTCAATCAGAAAGGTATTCTTCTTCTCTACGACGATGCACTTCCACATGTGGCACATTTGATGCAACACAAGATTATGGAGTTGGGTTGGGAAGTTCTCCCCCACCCACCATATTCTCCAGATATGGCACCATCAGATTACCATCCTTTTCATTCACTGCAACACAATCTTAATGGGAAAATATATGCAAATATGGAGGGTGTTAAAGAGGACTTCGACGTGTTTTTTGCTTTAAAACCAAGTGATTTCTTTAATCAGGGCATTAACAACCTCATTGTAAAGTGGAAAAGCTTCATCGATAAGAATGGAGACTATTTCATTTATTAAATATTTTTTGATGTGTGAATTGTTTGGGTTTTTTATCTAAAAAAAGCGACATTAATTTCTTGATGACCTAATATATATATATATATCATTTGTTTTACCATGTTTTCTTTCAACACAGGTGATTGGTTTATTATAATCATATAAGTGTTTTTATTTTATAGTGGAGGTCTCCACAACAATGGCACCAATGTCTCCTCACATACAGCATAATGGGATGAATGGCCTTGCTCAAGCTCAGCCTTCTGTTTCACAGACTTTTAGTGTGAACAGTAAGTACAAACTTAATCATGACAAGAATTAGCTTGGAAACAGGGTTCCCTTGCATTCTTGACATCAGTAAATATTTGGGAAATCTACGTAGGATTTGTGGGAAAAGACTTTTTAACAATTGGTGGGTTGCATGATTTATACCATCATCTTGTGTACAGCATGATCCAATCAGAAAGCACGATAGAATGTGAATTATGCCATATTTAAATGTTAGTAGATTTGTGCATATGTTAGCAACTCGCCACTCAGGCTGACAGTGGTTAAAATATCACATTTGTATAGCCAAAAATCTATTGTGACAAATATTTTGCAATGATTCACACTTTTAACCCTATGCAAATAGATAACTTATATTAATGGTGGGCATTGGTATTCATGTGGAGGTGAATCAGGAGATTTTTATTCGTGATAGATGGATGTAGAAGGGTTATAGGTTTCGAAGGAGGACATTTCTCCCTTCCCAGATCTGCCAGTGGTATTTAAAATATATTTCTCAATTTTTGGTGTATACTTGCCAAATAATTCATGTCTGTCTTGTTTAAATTTATATGAATTCAACTATTATTATTATTAAGAAAGAGTTCAGAAGAGGGAAGCAAACAAGAAATAATCCAGAAATTATTATATTTTGCTGCAGGATGTAGTGTTTAGGATTGATATGTTTTTGAAAGTTTAAGAATTGATTAAGTTTGTAGTTCTAAATACAATGTTATACTTATTGAATGCCATCTTTATGCAAAAAGTTCTTAGAAAAACTGAAATAATTCTTGAAATTTATGAAAATATTCAAAATTTGGGAATCCTGTTTGCATTATGTGGAATTAGTACATAGTGTAATGTAACAGGGGATACATATGCTTTCCACTTCAAGTGTATGTTACAGAGCAGCTGTGACAACTGTACCTTTAAACCTTTTACACCCACCTATTGTTCAGACCCCGCATATGTTGTATTATGAGTGTTTTCTTTCTTGTTTATAATTTTACCACACATTTACAACCCAACCTTATTTTTGATCTATGATGTAATCTTTTCCATGAAAGCTATAGAGCTTCATTTCCAGAACATTCTAAAAGCAGTTTGAAAGACATAAGCCAGTGAGCAAGTAGAGAGACTACTAATCCTAATTTTATTGTACTTGGTGGTGGTATAAGTTAGGTGGAGGCTAGCATGTTAATTGTGAAAGTATTGTGAAGGTTTAGTGCAAACTGTTTAATGTGATCATGACAGGTATTGTGAATTATTAATAACTTTTAATAAAAGTAGAACCATATAAACCAGAACTAATAGTAAGTATATAATGTAGCTAACTTAATATACTGATCTAACTAGAATTATGTATTTTTGTAAAATAAAAGACTTTAATTTTAAAAAATGCTTTAATTCATCAATTGGATAGTCTTGCTGTTATTGACCTGTTTGGACATAAGGTTAAAAGACTCGGTCAGGAAATAATTCTTGGAAATATTGTCTGTATTGAAGTGATTTATTATGAATTTTTTAACTTAATTGTGACAGGTAGTAATTCTTGGGGTGGAACAGGAAGTACTCTGACCTACACACAAACCATGATCCCACCTAGTCTGCCTGAAAATACATTGAGAACTCAACATCCTGGATATTGTAAGTATAAATATTTGTATTAGGTTTTCCAAACCTAGACATTGTATGAACAAAGTATCACATTTTATTCCAACATGTTATCTAGTACAGTGTCTGAAGATTACAGAGTTTATTTGCTAGCTATAGATTAAAACTAATATTTCTAATTTTGAAAAGCAAGTACCAGCAATTCCACTCTCATGTTAATCAAAGGTAGAGGTTTAATTCTTTCATTGCCAACTTTGCAGTCATGCATAATATTTAGAAAACAAAGTCTAGGACACCTTCTGCTGTATAAACATACCACAGTTTATATTGAACTTTTTTATCATCTGGGCATTTATCAAGAACATCCCCTTGGTAAATGCCCAGATGATAAAAAAAGTTCAATATGAACTGTGGGATGTTCTTGATAAATGCCCAGATGATAAAAAAGTTCAATATAAACTGTGGTATGTTCTTGATAAATGCCCAGGTGATAAAAAAAGTTCATTATAAACTGTGGGGTGTTCTTGATAAATTCTCAGATGACAAAAAAGTTCAATATAAACTGTACAAGCAACTCTTGCATATAATGGAGGCACAACCAATCTCTGGGATCACTGAACAGGTTTAATATAACACTTTTGCTATTATTTGTAGAAGTATGCTAGCTACTAATCTCTTGTAATATATGCAGTTTTACTGTAATAAATAGCATATATTTTTAATTTATTTTAAAATTTAAAAACATGACTAGTAGTCTACTTAATGTATTTTAAAACTGCATATGAGTGTTTTATTTCATGGATTATGTGTAAAATAGAATTTCAAATTTAAAAACCCCTGTCATAAATAAATTATGCAAGTTAGTATTAACAAACCATCTTTGATATTGTGTTCTGAACCTTCAGATGGTAAGGTGTACCCATCATTGGAGCCTTAATGGTATCTTTTTTAATATTATCATAGTCCATTTGTAGATGTTATATATTTGATTGTGCTAGAAATATTCTAGTTTCTGGGTCTACTGTGTGACAAATGCAGTTACACAATTTAATTGAAGTTCTTGTACGTATAACTAATGAAACCTGACAGTACAACAACAATATCTTTATGTACATATAACTAATGAAACCTGACAGTACAGCAACATTATCTCTATGTACATATAACTCATGAAACCTGACAGTACAACAGCATTATCTTTATGTATATAAAAATTATGAAACCTGAAAGTACAACAACAGTGTTTTTATGTACATCTAACTGTTGAAACCTGGCAGTACCACAACATTATCTTTATGTACATCTAACTGTTGAAACCTGGCAGTACAACAACATTATCTTTATGTACATCTAGCTGTTGAAACCTGGCAGTACAACAACATTATCTTTGTGTACATCTAACAGTTTAAACCTGACAGTACAACAACAGTGTTTTTGTGTACATCTAACAGTTTAAACCTGACAGTACAACAACAGTGTCTTTGTGTACATCTAACTGTTGAAACCTGACTGTACAACAACATTATCTTTGTGTACATATAACTATTGAAACCTGGCAGTACAATAACAGTGTCTTTATGTGTATCTAACTGTTGAAACCTGGCAGTACAACAACATTATGTACATCAAGTTGTTGAAACCTAAGAAGAACATCATAACCACAGTATCAAACTGTTTGGTCTAACAGCAGTGTACAGTTAGATTTTTTTATATTGATTTCTGATTGGATAACAAATGTTTGACAAACACTTTAATGTTATATTATCCTTTGAAGTGATTTAAAATTTTAATGACTTATTATTTTTAACTTTAGATAATTTTAGTGTTATCTGACACTTAGAAGTTGACCAGTTCAAAATGTCAATTATTAATTATTCTTAGATCAAATCAAGGGTCAGTTTCTTCATATGCTGAGAGAACACTTTGAAATTGCTTCTGAATTCTAAATTTATTGGCACAAGTGGGTAAGAATGTTGACATATTTCCTCTGGATGGGATGCCAGTCCATTGAAAGTTAACCTTCCAGCTGTCAGCTGGTATCCATTATACAACTGGATAGACAGAAACAATTGAGGTGAAGTTTCTTGCTTAAGGACACAACAGCTTTTCACAAGTGAACCTTGAACTTGCAATCATCTGACTACAAGCTCTAAGTGTGAAGTCATGCTGCTTTTGTTTTATGATTCCTATAGTTTGAACAAACTCTAGTGTTATCAAACACTTAGAAGTTGGTTAATTACACTTGTGAAACATATTACATAGAGGTTGAATAAACTAGTATTATTAGACACTTAGAAGCTGGTTAGTTACACTTGTGAAACATTACATAGAGATAACACTAGAGTTTGTTCAACTTCTAAGTGTCTGATTGGTTAGTTACACTTGTGAAACATTACATAGAGGTTGAACAAACTCTAGTGTTATCAGACACTTAGAAGTTGGTTAGTTACACTTGTGAAACATTACATAGAGGTTGAACAAACTAGTGTTATTAGACACTTAGAAG